GCCCCTTCCTGTTCTCTTTGATTCTCTTAGAATCTGTTCCCATGGGACTTGCACTTCTTGCTTCCCAGGCCCCTGCCCTCAGGGCCTTCCCCAGCTACAGTCCCATCAGGACTCTCTTCCTTGCACCTTCTCTGCACCCTCAATCTACACAACCGCCACGCTCCCCTCTGCGTTGATATGACAGTGGTGCCCAATGGATTGGTACATTTTCCCCACCCAAGTACATTTTTGCAATGAACCACAGAAAGAGCCAGAAATCCAGGTTACAATCCCGGCCTTCCCAGTGCGACCTAGAGCAGTTCCTTTCCTCCATTTTGACCTCAGTTTTCTCATCTGTGAAATGGGTATAAAGTGATGGAGGTTTTACGTACCTCTTAATGGACACGATGAGGAGGGAGAGAAGTGGGTCACTCTTCAAGATGAAAGTAGATAACCAGTGACGGAACGTTTTGAAGCTCTAAAGCACCATACACAGGAAGCAGATGGCTGCAAATACTTTCAAACGCACAGTGTTTTCCTCCCACCTGGGGGAATAGGACCCTAACTGATGCTCTGGGTGACACGAAAGGGGAAACTGGGAAGATAATCCAGCTCTGCTAGGTGATAGTCACCTGTCTACTGGTCTCGGGGTTCCACTGAGGCCTGGGGCAGCTCTTTGGATGACGAACGATGTGTCCAGGTTGGGAACCATCAGTCTCCCAGATCCCCACTCCACTGCTGTGAGGGCATCTCTAACGGACAGAGGTCCCAGGCCCTATCAAGCTCAGAGCCGACAATGTCTGTTCACGACTCCCAGGGAGGAGCGTCTCCAGCCCTGAGCAGAGAACCACACCGAGAGACCCTTTCATTTGATATCCATCCATAGGTACACTCATTTTATGAGTAATTAGTATCTGGAAATTACTTTTGCACAGTGTGAAGCACACAGTAGGTGCTCTATAAGTGCACATCTTCATCACGTATTCATTATTTTACTCCCTCACCACTCAGTCACAGCACTGGTTTGCCCAACACTAGGGGGTGACACTTCTATGGATCAGGGACCTTGCTCATTTCCCTTTCTGAAGCCGGACACTGGGCCAGGGCCTTTGGGCTTCACAGGGGAAGAAAAGAGAGCCCCTTCCCAAGGATCTCACAGTCTGGAGCAGAGGAGATAAAGATGTGTATGAACATCAATAACTCCAGCATAAGGCAGAGAAAGCAAGAAATAGCCCGTACAAGATAAAAATAGACAGAGGAGGAGGAGGAAGGGGAGGACTAGGTGGGGGAGGAGAGATCTCAGTTGCCTACAGGGCTCAGGCTGTTAAAGTCAATCAGGGAAGTCTCAGATGTGGAAAAAAAAAATCGAGAGACGCCTGCCCCACCTGTAGGGGGCAGCAGCGACCCATCTCCAGACCGTTGTTTTTGTTCAGGAATAGTAGTAGTAGGGCCAGGATCACCAGGGCTTCTGACTTCTTTTTGGAGAAGCTGGAAATCCCAATTCTGTTGCCCTCGTTCCTGATTTTTCAAAATAGAGCGCAAGTCGATCAACAGGCCAACCGGTTTGCAACTCTAGTCTGAGCTTTACACGGAGAAATCAACTCCTTCCGAGGGAAGGCTTCATGGTGGTGTTGGCGCCTGACCTTGAAGACTTGGTAAGAGTGACATGTGAGGTGGGAAGACAGGATTCATAGGGACCCTAGAGAGAATCCAGTTCATCAATCTCATTTCTCAGATCATGAAACTGAGGCCTAGGGGAAGATGCCTTTTGGAAGTTCCTTTTGGTTCCTTGCGGTTGGCCAGTTAACAGGGACCGTGAAAATGGGGAAGAGTTCTGAGGAGTAGGCTGAAGGCAAACTGCAGAGAGCCTGGAATGCCAGGCTAAGGAATTTGGATCTGAATAAGCGTGAGTGCTTAACACACTTTGGAGTGCTTACTTGGGGCCAGGCTCCCTGCACCGTCTCATATAATCTTCACGGGGCCATTACTGTCATCCCCATTCTGCGGATGAGAAAACAGAGGCTTAAGAACTCAGTGTAAGACACATGCCGAGTTCCCATGGCTGGCAAATGGCACAGCAGCCCCTCAGACCGAGATCTCTCTGCCCCCAAAGTTTGCGTGCCTGACCACCAGGTGACACCGCTGGGGGAAAGCAGAGCGATGGATTTTCAAAAGAAGCACCACCGCCTACACGTATTTTTAAATCCTCCAACTCATTTACTCCCAGGGCCCTGTTTTGTTTTATTGACTTGAAGATTAGGTTTCCACATTTCTTGAGAACTCTCTCCCCGCCCCTTTTTAAACACAGCTGTCTTTGAGGGTGGGGGAGGAGGAGTGTTTTAAACAGGAGTTGTTTAACTAATTGCCAATTATCTCTGAATAGGGTATGGTTTCCAACAGCTGTAAGGGATTTTGGTCCCCGTCCATTGCCTACTGTTGCTGGTACTTGGAGTGTGTTGAGATGTTCTTGGCCTCTTGCTTCAAAGAGAGGAACCAGCGCCTCACCGCCCCCCACCTCCCCCCGCCATTCCTTCAGACCGTCTCAGCCCTGTTTTGTACCGGCTGGCTGGCCTGAGAGGCACTGTGTGTTCCCGACATCAGAAGAGGTGCACAGACTCTCTCTCTTTCTCTTACTTGAGTGTAAATGGCTTGGTACCTGTCGGGGCAGAATTCTCTCCCAGAACTCAGTGCCTGCGCTGTCATTGGCCAGTCCTGTGCTAGCTTCTAGCATTTCCCTAAGTGCAAAGGGTTCTTGCTCCACTCTGACACCAGGCCTCACCTCTTGCATACCGGATCCAGTAGAAGGCTCAAAAAAAAAAAAAAAAAAACCCACCAAACCAACCACACTTTAATACAAAATTCCAGAAGACCCCGATGCAGATGGGTGATGTTAATTGTCCCTTCTGGCTCTGTCTGCTGGATTCCTGGGAACAGGCCGAGGGGCAAACCTTTGTAAATGTTAATCTCCTTATGCTTAAGATATCACACTGTCTTTGATGTTCCCAAACATGTTGACTCCTATCTTGGTTGAGGGTGTGTGGCCCAGACAGGCCAAATGCTTGTTTTGTCTTTCATTTTCCTCCAGGAGGGCTCAGCGGTACTATGTTCACCTTCAGCTGAAATCCTAACGAGTCCTTCTTCAAAGCCAGGTTGGAGGGGGAAGGGGGGGGCAAGAGTCAGTGATACTCGGGGCCACGACACCCCCAGCCCCAGAAACCAAACTCAGTTTCTCACCCAAGACCCGCTGTTTAGAAGTGAATGACTCTGTCCGTTATAAACTCCTCCCACCAAACAGAAAGGAGAAAAAAGACTAGATTTCTAAAACTCCATTCATTCCTGTATCGTTAGGGCCATGCTGGTTGCTGCAACATATAAAACCAGAAGTGTATAATGGCTCAAATACAATGCAACTTTATTTACTCCTGATGTCACGTTCAAAATGGATGCTCCTGAGTGGAGGTGCCGTTTCTCCAAAAGATGATTCAGGAGATTTGTTGGTGGAGGGGCTTTTATTTTCCAGAATGGTTCCCAAGGTGGGTGCGTCCCTCTCCAACAAGCTGTAAAAGGAGAAAGAGAGGGTGAGGAGGGCACACTCACTTCTTAACAGTGAGCGCCACTGGGAGGTATCACTTCCTATCAAAATCTGTGGGCAAGAACATGGCAGGTGGCTTCACCTAGAGGCCAGGCTGGGAAACGTCATTCCGGATTGTCACCGCCACCGCCAGACCGCCTGCGCTAGGGAAGTAGAAGCATGGCTCTCTGGTGGACAATTCGCCTCTCTGCCACATCTTTGAGCTGTGAGGAGACAGCTGGCGTCGAGGCTGAGCTGGAGACAGAAGGTATAGACTTGGGTTTTAGAGTCTGGCGGTATCCTTTTGGGTGAACCATTTTACCTCTGTGAGCCTCAGTTTCCTAATCTGTAAAATGGGGATAATGCAGAAGGGGAAGGGCTCATAAGCGTGACTGTGTTATACACTATCCAACATTCTACCTGCGGTTGCCCAGTAAGGTTGGATGTGACAGCATTCTAGGGACAGTGTGATGGAGTTTGGTAATCTGCACGGGTTTCAGCTTTCTTTGAGAGGGAAAGAAATATTGAAGGAGCGAGCGACACGGGGCCTATATTCGTGTACGGTGACCGTCAGCTAGAACTGAAGGTTGAAGAGGCATCACTGCAAAGTATCCTACAGCCCCCCCACTCCTGTGCGGGGCCGCTTTGCTCACTTACATGGCCTGTCTGGCCCCCGTCGGCAGGTAAGTTTGAGACCCCTGAGCTATAAGAGTGTCATATATGCTAATGATGATAATCATATTCTAGCTGCAGGAATGTTTTCCTCTTACTCTTCTGCTTTCCAAAGAACACAGCCATTGCCAAACCTCCACCCCAGCTGCAGAATCCTGTGCGTTGGCTTAATTAACTGATCGGCTCCAGAAATTGCTTACTAACAACAAGGGCCAACATATATCATTTTTTTAATTGTTGACTTTTTAAATCTTGGCAGAGGATTGTGTTACGAATACGACGGCACAAACTTCAGGGGCTTGTCAGTTTTCATAATATAATGAATGGAGGAGGTCTGATTCAGAGCCCTGTGAGTCCAATAATATGATTAGGAGGTCGGCCTGCCGAGGCCAGCGCCGGTGCGGATGACGGGCTGACGGCTGTAATTGATTGGCACTGGCAGGGAGGCCAGGGGCACGGCTTTGTTGGGGCAGGCTGGTGATCTCCTGCCGGTGTCCACTCGGATATCACCGGGAAGGCAGTAGATGAACAATCGTGGGAACCTTTACAAGTCTGCTGACAGAAGATAAGTTAAGAAATAAAGTTACGTAAGACTGCTGGGCAGAGCGGGGCAGCAGTGGAAGAGAGAGAGAGAGAAAGAGGGAGGGAGATGGGAGGGGAAGGAGGAGGAGAAGGAGAGGAATTCTGAGTGTATCGTTAGGGCTAGGCTAAGGTGTGCTGTTGTAACAAATGACCCCACATTGCAATGGCTTGAATCAACAAAGGTTTATTTCTTGCTCACGGTATAGATCCGACGAGGGTCAGCAGGGCTCTCTGCTCCACGTTGTCCTCAGTCTGGGACCCAGGCTGATGGGGCCTCCACCATCTGAAACATCATTATGGGAAGGAAAGAGAAAGAGAATGGTAAATCACGCCCTGACTTCGAAGGATCCCCATGCATCACTTCTCTGCGTGTTTCATTGGCAAAGGGAATCTCACGGTGCCCTCCCCATGCAGAATGACTGGACAAATACAATTCTACCACGTGCCCAGAAGAAAACCTGGAGAATCTGTGAACAGCCTCCTCTGAAAGGTAGCTTTCAGAGTTTCCAGGATTCTGAATCTGGAACAGATCTATGCTAGTTGGGATTCTTTGCGTTGCATTGAAGGTGAAACTCAAACTATAGAGGAGGGAATTTATTAACTCACAACCCCCCAAATCCAGCCGCAGGTCTGTTTGTCTTCAGGCGAAGCTTAACCCAAGGGTTCAAAGCCTCGAAAGTCTGCCCTCTCTCCACCTCTCAGCTCTGTTCCCTGCCATGTAGATGTTGCTCTCAGATTTCATAGTACCAGGGTTCACGCCCAATGGGAAAAGAGTGCTTCTACCTCTCTTCCGTTTTCAATATTTAATCCTAGGCCTCAATCTCATTGGACCAAACTGGGTCAGGTGCACATAGCTGAACCAATCACTGTATCCAGGGGGATGGAGTGTTTAGTCAGACCCAAGTCATGTGACCATCCCAGGAACGCGACTCAAACTCACTTCATCAAAATTATATGGACCAAGGGGAGGGGAAGGCTAGTTCTTGAGGGAAATTCAGGATGCTAGGCTAGAATGGGTGTTCAAAAATATAAACAAATAAAAAAATACATGTCCAGTACAGGGTATGGAGATGCTTTTTCCAAATGTTGTTTTGTAGACCTGCTTCATGGGCTAGCTATGAGGCCAGGAAGGGGATCCTACACTCTTTTAGTTTCCCTTTCAATCAAAGCAATTGTACTTTATTTGCTATATATCTTAGGATTCCACATATAAATGTGTTTGGAACCAAAACAGGGAAGTCTTCTACTTAAGGAAAAGGGGGGAGGAGATTAAACATTACTGCTCTTTGATTCCACCTCTTCATTTTACAAGAGATTGAGATTCAGAAAGATTAGCTTTCTTCTCACGTCTCATTGGTCAGAATTGGTCACATGGGCACCTAGCCACAAGGGATGCTGGGAAAGTAGGCATCTGGCCAAGGGGAATGAAGTTATCACAACTGGCCTAGACATAAATAGTGTATCCCCCACGGCTGGGCACTTTGCCACCCCCAAACAAAGTTGGGGGCCCTTCAGGGAAAAAGAAGAAGGAAATGGCCCTCAAGGAGTGATCAGCTGTGGTGCTAGGAGTCTGATCTCGCTGACAATCCCTTAAGGCTACAGCTGACCCTTGTACCTCTGGTAAAGCCTTCACTGATCTACGAAGTTTGCCGGCAGTTGTCTCCTTCCTTCCTCCCCCCAGATCCTATGAGATAATGAATCATACATTGACTTTTAAAGTGTCCACCCAGGGGCACCTGACTGGCTCAGTCAGTACAGTGTGCAGCTCTTGATCTCAGGGTAGTGAGTTCGAGCCACACATCAGGAATAGAGTTTCCTTTACAAAAAATAGGGGCATCTGGGTGGCTCAGTTGGTTAAGCGTCTGACTCGGTTTCGCCTCAGGTCATGATCTAATAGTTCATGAGTCCAAGCCCCACATCAGGCTCTCACTGACAGCACAGAGCCTGCCTGGGATTCCCTCTCTCTCTCTCCCTTGGCCTCCCTCTCCCTCAGCCTCCTTCTCTCTCTCTCAAGATAAAGAGATAAACTGGGGCACCTGGGTGGCTCAGTCGGTTGAGCATCCGACTTCGGCTCAGGTCATGATCTCACGGTTCGTGGGTTTGAGCCCCAAGTCGGGCTCTGTGCTGACAGCTTAGAGCCTGGAGCCTGTTTCAGATTCTGTGTCCCTCTCTCGCTCTGCTCCTTCCCTGCTCATTCTCTGTCTCTCTCACTCTCTCAAGGGTAAATAAACATTAAAAATAAAAAAAAAAAGAAAAAAGATAAAGAGATAAACTTCTAAAAAGTTAACAAAATAAAAACAAAGTGTCCACCTGCGATGGACTTATCACTATGATTGTGTCCCTTTTACAGATGGACACACTGAACTGCAGAAATGAATTGGATACCCAAGGTCACACAACTGGTATATTTTGCAGACCCTTTGCTATATGCCTTTAGCACAGAGAGAGACAGAATACTGAGGAAAGAGAAAACTTCAAGCACAGACCTTTTACTACATAGTGATTGACTACAGAAAGGTGGGGACAGCGTGAGGGTGTGGACATGCCGGGCAGAAGGAACAGCATGTGCAAAGGCCCAGGGGCCAAATAGTGCACAGAAATGGAAAACAGTTTTACAGGTTTAGAGTATAAAGTCTGAAGGAACATCCTACTTAGGAGCTTGAACCTTGTATGAGGCCCATAGGGAGCCACTACATATTTCAGGCAGGGAATTATATCATTATATATGCACTCTATCTTCAGTGGGGAAAATCAACCCAGAACTAACGCTGGGGGTGGGGGGAGTCGGGCCTTTGCGAGGTGACAGTGATCAGTGGCCTGGACCACAGTGGTGATGGCAGAAATGAAGCAAAGTCGAGATTCAAGGGAAAAGCCAGAGGTGTGGAATCCACCAAATCTGAATCCAGATTACTCAGATTTGGTAGCTGGAGGTGAGGATTTGGAGAAGTTGGGAAAAGCTGAGGCTGATTCACAGGTTTCTAGATGGCGTGGCTGTTGACGCAGGTCGGGGGGCAGGTGGGAGGTAAACATGGAGGACAGGAACCCAGGCTCCTAGGCGTGCACCCTTAGTCACAACGTGCTCATGTCAGGCTCTGTGCTGACAGCTAGCTCAGAGCCTGGAGCCTGTTTCAGATTCTGTGTCTCCCTCTCTCTCTGACCCTCCCGTGCTCACACTGTCTCTCTCTCTCAGAAATAAATAAAACATTAAAAAAAAATTTAAAAACTAAGGCAAACTCTCTCACCGGATATGGCCACACTGGGCTTCCTGAGCCCTCTGGACCCTGTCTCAGAGCCACCAGGGGCCTTTGTTCTTCCCTTCCACCCATGGTAAGGCACCGGAGCCCTCAGGTTGGCCTCAGAACAGATTCCCAGGGGGCCTGACACAGATCTTGATAGAACTTTCTCGATCTGTATTCCCAGAATGTCACCCGGATACTCTCACCCCGATTCGATGGAAAGGGTACAAGGATAAATGATTTAAACGCTTGATAAACTCATCTTAAAACTGCTGTTGAAGAATAAATGGCCCCAAATAGCTAAGTCAGATGGGTTCAAAAACGAAAAACCAAGAGGAAAGACTGCCCCACCGGATGTTAAGATGTACAGCAAAGCCGTGGGAAGACAGTGCAGTGCTGGCTTAAGACAAGTGGACCCTGGGAGCTTAGAACCACTCTGGTTACGGAAGCACACGTGCAAAGATGAAAAGCTAGCTCAAAGCTCGCAGAAGTGTGGGCTTTCTGGAACTGTCTTGTTTCCATTCCAACATGCTGGCCTTCTAGGTGGTGCTAGAACGAATGATTTCCCAAAACACTCTGCAGACAGGTTCACACTTATTCTAACCAGACTTCCAGGACACAGATATTGTCATCATTACTTTACTGTGGGGAAACTCAGGCTCTGAGAAATTAAGACATTTGTCCAAGATCACACAGCTAGTGTGCGGTAGAGGTGGGGTGCAAACCCCACTTTCTCTGACTCCAGAGCCAATACACTCTGCTGTCTCTTCCTCAGCCCCACGTGCAGAGAAAGTAGGGCAGGCTGGGGCCATTGAGAAAGCCTAGAAGCTTCTAGAAGCCCTGGAGCTCAATCGCGGAAGCATGAGTGGATTGAGGCAGGTGACTGAGATGGATTGCTCTGAGCCGAAGAAACCAACCCCAGGGGAAAGGGCTTGGGGAGTGAGTGTTTATTTAGCCGGTGGGACCACAGCACAGGATGCTCGTGAGGGGCCTTGGGAGACGGGGCCTCCATAGAAGAGAGGGGTCAGCGTGATGAAGAGCCCCAAATGACAGAGAGGGAACGGGACTTTTAATCTTTCAAAGTGCAGCTTTTTGGCGCTCTTCTGCTCTACAACCTTCTGTAGCTCCGCTGGCTACTGTCTCTTGGTTAATAAGGGAAGAGTATGCAGATGGAAAGAGGTGGGGAAAGCCTGGAGACAGAGAGACCTATTAGACGTCACCGGCCAGGAGGGAGAGGACACGGTGTACAGGCGAGACAAGAAAGGAAAAGCGTGCATCTGGGGGCAAGATTTTGTGAGAAGTGCCCTACCCACCCTACTACCCTCATCTAATTAAGGGTCACTGCTTCCCTGCAGCATCAGACAACGTTTCAGCTTTAGCAAAGAGCAGGTGCCTTATTCTACTCACAGAAGTGAGCCGCGAATAGCCAGAAAATCAGCTGTTGCCTGAAGCAGCAAAAAGCAGCCATCTAGAGCCACAGAAAATAAGGGCCAGACACTCCGAGGGGTTTGTATCGCACAGGCAAGTGTATCTTTCTGTGCCTTCATGTCTCCATCTGTAAAGTGGGAATAATAATAGTATCCACTCCATAGGTTTGATGAGGCCCTCCGGAGATCACGTCTGTAAAACCTTCAGTATAATAACTAGCATATACTAGGAGCTCAGTAAGGGCTATTATCATTGATAACAAAATAATTGTGTAGGTAACACGTTAACCCTTCAAGCATGTGATGAGCAGCTTTCAGCAAAGAATTGGTGTCGAATTCTCAACCATCGTATACTTTATAGCCCTTTCCCCCGCAAGGTGGAGGCATGGGCTTTACAATTCAAAAAAAAAGAAAAAAATGTCAGAAGATGAAACGAATTCCATTCCATTAAATTCAAGAAGCTATGAATTGTCATTTTTTCCTGCTATGGAGATTGCTAATTATAAATGGATGGGGAGATAGATGGACAGATAGTGAATCATGAAAGCTAAACATGCTTCCTCTCTTTGAAGTACAGATTGCTATTAAAAAAAAAAAAAGAAAACGAGTTCCCCTCTGCAGGCCTTTGCTTGTGTGACAGAAGTCCACAGTGTCACCTCTCGGAGTTTCTCATTACTCAGCGGTTTGGGGAATGAGTGATTGATGTAATTAAGGTTATTGGTAAAGAAAGACTCAGTTACCGAGGAAGCGATGAGTCAGCAGAAAGTTTAAGTAATGAAATAATGTTCCAAGGAGTGATTCTTAAAATAAGCTTTTTTCCCTCCTTAACTCTAGACATCTTAACTGTTGCTGGTCAGCAAAAAAAGAGGTGAGGTAGTTAAGACGTGGGAAAACCACACCCCATGATTTTGGAAATTCTTAGGTGGAGTCATTTGCCATTAACAGAAATGATATTTATTGAGTAATATGAGGAAAAGGTTATACTTATGGAGTGTCAACCATGTGCTTTGGGGAGCTTGGCTCACATTGTCACATTTAATCCTCACCTCTCAGGTAGATGCTGTTCTTATCCCTGTTTTACAGATGACGGCTTGGGATTTCAGGGAGGTTAAGGACGTTTCCCAGGGTTGTACAGCAGGCAAATGGCACGGACGGGAATGGAGGCCAGTTAGGCTGGCCCTGAAGCCCCCCTGTTCAATCACCAGGGCTCCTGGGCCTCTCTGTTTAGGTTTCTCAGCCATCTAATCAGGCTCACGAGTACACTCAAGGTGACAGACTGCGGTCAGGATCTGAACTCACATCTGTCTGAGCCCAGAGCTGTTTCAAAATTCCCACGGGTACAGAAAATGCAAACCAGTGCTTTGGCACCGGACTCATCCGTTTGTTTCCATTTCCACTAACGTGGACTCTGGACACGCCAGGCTTTGGGCTCCACGTCGGTAAAGGGGGCTGGGGCGGTGGCGTCAGGGTCCTAGGTGAGAGTCCGTGCCACACACAGCGAAGGCTCAGACCAGAGCAGCAGAGAGGGGGCGGTCTTGGGAAGGATCTATGGGACCTATGGGGTGAGGGCATATGAGGAAAGGAGGGGTGTGTCAGTCTGCTTCTAAAGTCCTTCCACAGAGGGGAGGGGCGAGGGGAGGGCCGACCCAGTGGAGCGAGCTGAGCGGAGGGCCCTCACCCGGGCAGAAAAGAGAGGAAGGGGCAAGAGTAGAGCCCGGGGCCCAACGGTCCCCTACGTATCAGCAGTAAACAGGGTGACCACGTGTCACCGTGGGTGGCTTCAGGAAAGAGGAGCGTGGGTGGGAGCCTCCCACAAAAAGGCCACTCTGGGACTGCTGCGGGCAGGGACCTGTCACGGGGGGGTGGCACCTGCCCCCTCAAGTCCACCGTCGCCCACAACTTTGCTCAAAGCTGGGCCCCCTCTCCTTTTCCTGAAGAAGGAAAGAAGCTCCAGAGCCTTTTGTGGTGTGGAAAGGCATACAGGGCTGCTGGTCTTGGCCACTTGCCCCCCAGAAAGAGTGACCCACATTCAAGAGAAAAGGGGCTTGGGGCTTGCAGACCCAGGGGTGATAGCGAAAGCGATGGCCCAGCAGGTTCGCCAAGATCCTCCAGATTTCGGTACTGCGTCCTACAAGCCAGACGTGGAGATGCGGATTACAGTACAAGGGATTTATGAAGCAAGGAGCACAGGGAGCAGAGGGAGGAGGAGCTGCGAGGGGGGTGCAGGGCGGGGGCGGGAGGCAGCCACCCGTGGTTCTGTCCCCAACCAGCTTCGTGAGCTCAAGCACGTTGAACAAGGCAGGGCCTCCATTCTACAAAACGAAGGCTGGTATTTTCCAAAGGGCGGTAAGCACATCTCCGGGGCCACGTGAGATGACGTTAGGGAGGGCCAAGTGGTGCCCAGGTGGCCTGCAAAAGAGACGCGTGGGGTTGGGGGATCCAACCGAGAGATGGTGGTCACCTTCAAGGCCCAGGGACCAAGGACTTCATTCAACGAATCGCTTTTTATAATTGTCTTCCGGGACACCTGGGTGACTCCGTCGGTTAAGTGTTGGACTTCAGCTCAGGTCATGATCTCATGGTTCGTGGGTTCGAGCCCCGCGTCGGGCTCTGTGCTGACAGCTAGCTCCGAGCCTGGAGGCTGCTTCAGATTCTGTGTCTCCCTCTCTCTCTGACCCTCCCCTGCTCACGCTGCCTCTCTCTCTCAGAAATAAATAAAAAACATTAAAAAAAACAGTTAAAAAATAACAATTGTTTTCTGTGATACTTGCAAATGATACTTGCTTTTCCATTAGAGCAGCGGTATAAATATTCCTCTCAAAAGAAGTCAACAGAGACAGAACTCCAAGGAAGTTGTTACATAAACGGGAGCTGCTAATGGCCGGAGGTTATGGCAGGGATCGGAGGGTCCTCGGAGCACCGAGGGCATTGAGGAGCACCGAGCAAACGCAAGGGCTCCTTCTTTGAGTCCACAGACTCCAGTCCCTTGAAGCCTTCTCAGACATGCCTTCTGCATGGTCTAGGACCTGTCAGGTGTTTACCAGATGAAAGGGGAAAATTAAAAAGGAAAAGGAGAGTTAAGGGAGGCAAAAAAAAAAAAAAAAATCTGGAGAGATAAACAACTCCACTGACCAAAATAAACCAGGCCAATGATTTTTCTACCACATTCTTCATGAGAGTGGAGAGGTGGTGTTTATTCTAAATGAGCCCTTTTCTCCAAGTCACCATTAATCCATGCTTTTCTGTGATCCAGGAAAATCGGTCCTCAACGCCCAATGACCGTCTTTGCACGTATGAGTATTTGGAGAGAGAGTCGCCTGTTACCACAGGGTTGGGATTTAGATGGCGGATACAAATAGAGAGCAAACAAAACTAACAGACACACAAAAAAACCTTGTGGTTTGGGATCTAAAAAAAAAAAAAAGGCTCAGAAATGACAACTGTGTGGTAAGTCTGATGTCAAACCCAGTTAGCTGGGAAGGTGTCTACGATGCTGTGGAGCTGTGAGGCTATTTGGAATCGAGGGCTAAACAGATGTCTCACTCTGCAGGAAAGATGTCAAGACGCTGTTCCTAGGGGGCTGGGGGTCCTTTGGGGAAAAGCCACTGAGAGTTTTCCAGAAAAAAAAAATGCCTAAGCTGACGACCATATATCCACCGCAAGGAATCAAGAATTGAAAACAAACAAAAAACAGTCAAGCAGACACATGAAGAAAGGAAGAAGGAAGGAAGGAATTCAAAAACAAATATATGAAGTTCCACGAGATTTGGAACCTTGTCCCCTGCTCAAGATCTCTGTTCGATGGTAGCTGGTCTGTAAACCTATGGGCCACAGGATCATGGATTCTCATTTGCATCATGTAGGATAAAGGCGTCGGGGGGGGGGGGGGGCAGACAGTCACTTCCAACGGAAGAAACGAGCAGATCTTTCCAGATAGCAATTATTTAGGGAAGCAAACTGTCCTTGGCGCGGGCGAACAGTCTTAGCTCCTCCTTGCTGTTGAGTATCTGGGAGAGACGGCCCCTTAGTACCGTTTCCCGCATCTGTACTTCACACACGGAGTCCTGAAGAGGCAGCGTCCTCCAGCAGCTCGGAGGAGGGCTAAGATGTTTCCTGGCCCAGCCTAAAAATATCTCCCTTGACAGCCTGTCACAGTGTCTGAGATTGCACCATTATAAATTCATTCCTCTCTGTTAAGGCATTTTGTTTCCAGCTCTCTGTTAAAATACACATATCCCAGAGAATTTAGCTGGGGTGAGGCACAGACAGACAGAACACGGCGTCCGAGGGAGCCAGACCTGGGTACCCAGCTCGGGGATGCCTGGAAACTCACTGTGTGAGCCTGGGCGAGTCATTTTCACTCTCTGAACCTCAGTGTCTCCACTGACTGAGAAAAAAGAAAAAAAAAAAAAAAAGAACGAGAGAAAAGACAGAAATCAAAGGGGAGATGTGGTGGTCAGAGAACCCTAAAGTATCTGCTGTCAGAGAAGAGCAGCTGTTCATTTTAGGGTTTGCCCGGGACTCTACAGGTTGCCACTGTCCCCTAGAGCAGTTCTTTTGAGCCAAAGCAGTTGGAAGGCAGGTCAAATAGTGTCCACTTTCCCCCCACTCTCTAAAAACAAACAAAACAAAAACACACAATCCCTGTTCCTCTCTTATAGAGGACATGTCAGCAAATGGCATGCCCCAAGCCCCTGGGTGCTCAGGCCCAAGTCCCTGGAAGCATCCAGAACTCTGCTCCACTCACCATCCCCCCCCTGCCCCCCCTTCAGTCCATCAGCAAAGCCTGTTGACTCTACTTTCAACAAATAGCCTACACCTGATGCCTGATCACTTCTCCCCACTTCTCTGGCTACGGCCGTGGTCCAAGACTGCATTTCAGCCCCCTGCCCCCCTGCCCTTAGATTTTCCATCTCCTAACTGTGCCTTGTTTCCATCTTGCCCACCCCAAGCCCCAGCTCCTCACGCCCGGGGTTGCCTTGAAGATATATGTTAGATCCTGTCACTCCCCTCAGAGACCAACCCTCTCTTCCTTCCTCTATCTCTCACCATGAAACCCAAAGATCTCATCAGGACCAATAGAGCCCTATACAACCTGAACCTGGCTTTGCCTTGACCTCATCATCTCCCACAGGGATCCCCTTGCTGTTGCTCAAGGCTGTTCCTACCTCAGGATCTTTGCACTTGCGATTCCTTCTGCCTAGAAATCTCCCCTCCAGTATCTTCATGGCCATGGCCTATGCCCTAACTTCTTTCCGTGTCTGCTCAAGCATGCCTTGTAATGGATACTTCTCAGCATACTCCCTTCCATGTCCTCACCCTACTTCATTTTTCTGCTAATACTCTTCACCTGGAGAGTGGGAGAAGCCATTATCACATGCATTTGTTTACTTTCTGACTCCCCCTCCGGGGGGGCAGGGGCTTTGTTTTGTTCACGGCTGTACCCTCAGCCTCTGGGACGGCACATCTGGAATAGTGTAGGTGCTCAATTAGTATACATCGGAGGAAGCGAACAGAATAGTTTAAGCAGAACTACACTAACCTGGAGGCTAATCTAAGCATTCCACTGGAGAGGTCAATGCCAAGGTCTCTCCTGCACTATTTCAGCAGGACAGGGTGTCGTGGGGAGTCAAAGGTACAGCGGACTTGGCGGGGGCAGGGTGCCTATACTGAAGGACAACTATGTGCCACTCAAAAAGCCAGGGGTGTTGCAGGCCTCCTTTTACTGGTGAGGCCACTGAGGTTCAGAGAGGTTATCTGATCTAAGACATACAACTTAGTAAGTTGCAGAGGCAGTCCTTAGCCACTAAGGCCCAAGCACTCAATCAATAAGCCACAACAGCCTACGACTCCACCCCACATGCCTGGGGTTCCCTGGTCACACTCTTCCCAGCTATGAAGGGGCTGAGGCTGCCACCCTCTCTGGGCCCGCATCCACAGGAGCCAGCCCTTCCCCACTCCCTCCTCCCCAGGCCCCAGTCGCCCGCCTGCAGGGGGCGATGTGGCATGGCTGGAGTCGCCCTGAATGCAGGGTTGTGGCCAGCAGAAAGCAGCTAAGGTCAAGGAGAGCGCCCAGGGCCAGGGCCAGGGGCTAGGGGAAAACTCTTGCAGCGTTGAGGACCCCCCCCACACACACACCGAGGCCGAACCCCAGCTGTGTTGAGCGCCGCCGCCAGGCCACCAGTGCAGACGGGAGCTCTCCAGCCCTTGTTTGATGAGCAGCGGCCAATAAATTCATTAATCATCATTTTATGCCTCATCAAACCCCCTCCAAGCCCCTCCATGGGAGTTACACAAATTAGCCCCTGAAAAGACAGTAATTTCAGTATAGCGAGGTAAGTGCTTTCTGATGGGCTCCGCGCACAGAGCTCTCCTGACAAGCCAATCCATCAGCGCGTCGGAGATGGGGCGCAGCCCGCCGCCCAGCCTCACCCGGCCAGCCCCGGCCAGCCTCCCCTGCTTCAGCCTCCCGGCCCTGCGCAGCCTAGCATCTGGGGACTACCTGGCGAAGGTCTCCGACTAGGGCGCCCCTTTCCCCTGGCTCCTTTACACCCCCCAAGCACCGCAGGCTCTCCTGTCCGCCTCCGGTCCTCACCCACCTCCGCCTCCTCCCCAGCCCTTCCGAACAGAAGAGAAATTTGGCGGAGGGAAAAATCCCAGGCTCCAATTTGGGTAACGGACCGAGAGTGGCTGAGGAGGAGGCGCTTGCGCTGACGTTCTGAACTCTAGCCCCGAGGAGGGAAGAGTCAAACGGCCCTTCACCCGCTCCCCCATGTCTAGATGTCGGGGTCCCGAGACCCCCTGAAATTATTGAAGAGCTGTGTGTACTGCGTGCATACGTTATTGGGGGGAGGGGGCAATCCATGGCTTCCTGACGATTCTGAACGAAATTCCAGGCTCCGAAAGAGAGCCATCTGGGAACAGAGAAGGGGGTCCCTCTGTAGGAAGGGCGGCTGCACCGGACCCCGGTGGCGGGCACGGGGGTGCGCCGCGCCCAGCCTCCTGCGTGGCCCTAGCGTCTTTCTCTCTGAAACGGCCACCTGAAGTGAGAGAGAACGCCAGGCGCGGAGAGCAAGACAGCATTTTCTACGGGATGGGCCGGGCCAGTCTGACTCCAGCACGGAGAGCTGGGTAAGAGAGGAGAGGGGAAAGAGCCCGAGAAAATTGTGGCGAGGAGTGGGGTATTTGCAAACGCGAAGCCAGCGCCGCGCTTCTCACTTTCGGATCCTGGAGCACGGAAGGTCCCACGGGCGTCCAGCCCGGCGGGCAGGGCCCATGCAGAGGAGGTCGGTCGACGGGGAGCCGCAGGCCCAGCGGAGCCTACCCGCCAGCGCGCTCTGACCGTGGAGAGCCCGAGCGCCCAGCGACGCGCAGCTCCTTCATTAGCTTCCCCTCCGCGGCGCTGCAAGCCTCGGAAAATAAGTTAGCAAACGGGGAGCCGTTTATCTCTTTTATCTTGGGGCCTGATCCAATTAAATAAGTGCACATTTACATTTGCATCCATCAGGCGGGAGCGCTGAGAGCCCGGGGTTTGCTCGGAGCAAATAAAAGCAGATTTCACTGGGAAAAGTGGCGTCTGTGCGCGCTGGGCTCGTCCCGGCGCCGGAAACGAGCGCAGCCTGGAGGGCGGCCCTGGGGACCCCGAGCTGGGGCCTGCGGCCGACAGAAGGCCAGAGACCCCCTCGAGGCCCGGAGGAGTCGGCCTGGGCAGGGGGTGCAGCCAGACCTTCATCCCCGCCCCAGAAGCGATCCTCCGTTAGGCCACAACCTGGGTCCCGCCTCGGGCCCTGGACATCAGTCGCATTTAAACGAAAACGAAAAGGAGCCCAACTCTGGCCTGGTCGCAGCGGGAGGCCTGCGGGGTAGGTCTAGGGACAGTCCCGCAGCTTTGGTCACTTTGGAAGGAGGGCAGGTGGCCAGGTCTCCCTCGGGCCCGATTTTCCTATTCGGTGGCGGAGTGGAAAGGGATTCCAAGAGGCAGGCCGAGGGCGCGCCTCCGCTCTCCCCCAAGATCTCTGCACCAGGGTGAGACCAAGTTGATACGAGCGCTTAGCGCTTCTAGAAGGGTGAAAGGGGACGCCCAGCTGAGCGCCTCTTGCTTTGCCACGCCGACCTCATTAAAGATGCTTTCGAAATAGGAGGGTTGTTAAGAATGAGAAGGTAGTTTTGTTTTTCCTTTTCTTATGGAGGTCCAGCCCACAGGTCAAAAGACAGAAACGGTTTTGGGGGCTCCGGTTGCGTGGTAGACCCCAGATGTGCCAAACCGCGGGCGAAACAAAACTGCGCGGCGTCCGGAGCCCTGGCGTGGAAAGGCCCGCAGAAACGGAAACGCGCACCTGAAGCGGAGCCGAAACACTGGCTCACCGCCTGGGCTGCGCACTGCTGCGCCCCCTTCCTCCCCCCACCCGCACACTGGTGCAGCCGTCGGCATATTTCTCAATTCCCTGCTGCCTGGTTTCCGTGCCTGTGCCCGAACCGTGGCGGGAATCCGTAGGGTTAAAACGGTTCTAGCTGCGGGCCCTGCTCTCCAGATCTCCGAGACTAACTGGGTCGTGGGACCCGAGCCGCAGAGAGTGGCGCAGAGGAACACTTTCAGTTCGACCCGCTTGGGGTTCAGAGCTAAGACCCCGCTGGGGGTGGGGGGCACAGCCAGGTCTTGCCTAACTCCTCCTCTCTGCGAACCGCGTGGCGCCCGGGGACCAGTAGGCGGCGCCCTTCCTAAACTGCATCCGAGTCCGGCTCCCTCTCGGGAGCGCAATCACAGTCCTTTCACTTTGGGCGCTTTGCAGAGCGCCCTTCCTTGCCCCTGCCCGAGTTGGCAGCTCATTGTGGGGGACAGGTGGGCTGGGAGGCACGGCCGGTTGTGAAACTGCACGGACGGCCCTCCCACCGCAACCTACCAGCCTCCGAGGGCCGCGCACCTCTCGCAGGATGAGAGGCCCCGAAAAGCTTGCAGACTAGAAGGCCTCGACGCAGGCCCCACACGCAGGCCAGGGAACACCATTTCGGGCCCTAGCACCCCCAGTCGAGGAGCAGGCAGGACCCCTTACTGCAGCCTGTCCTCAGTATGCGCTTCTGCGCCCTCGGGGATTGACTGGGCTGTGGTCTCTTCCACCCCCAAATCCCATGAATTGACTCGGGCCCCCGCACAGAGGGGTAAGGGAAGGGACCCGGCTTGTTCCGGTTTGGCGCTGCCTCAGGGGGCTGACTGCAGAGACCCCACGCTGCCCCTGCTGCCTGGGATAGAGCCCACCTAGTCCCTAAGGGACAAGCTTAGCGCTTCTCGAGGGGGCCAGACCCAGCGCAGTGTAGCGCAGGTGGCCAACGCCCGCGCAGCCCCAGCACCCAGGTATCTTAGGTGCGGCCTCGCGCAACTTCCGCGCCCGAGTCCAAGCCTGCGAACAAACCTCGACCCCGCTGCACGCCGGAAATCCCCCTCCCCCCCCGCGCCCCCCAGCGCCTCCGAGGCTCTGTGCCTTTGAAACGGCCCAAGACGCGGCCAAGCGGGGCTCGAGGACGCACTTGGGACAGTAAAGACACGGAACTACTTCCGGGATTAAACGCGGGAGACATCTGACTGTCTAAACCCCGGACTTTCCCAAACTGGAAAGTCTCCGGACCCCAGAGAAACCACTGGCCACGAACCCCAGCTGTGCAAGGAGAGAACCCCAGACTTAATTGGAGGCTTGTGTTCACGACGAAGTACGCAAAGAAACCCGTAGACCCTGCAGAGGCCAAGGGCGGGAGGGATACGGACCGGGGGCAGCGACTCGGGCAGCCGCCTTGCAGACCCGGTGGTTTCGCTCCCCGGCCGGGAGGCCCCGCGCACCGCCCCCCGTCGGGGAGAAGCGCCGCCGGCTCCCGGGCGCGCGGCTCGGTTCCCAGGCAGCCCCGCGGGCATTCGGCTCCCAGCCCCGAGCCTCGGCGACCGGACTCTGGAGGCCCGCGCCGCGCCATTTGCATGTTCCCGGGAACGCAAGGAGGCCTGTAATTTTCTTTTTAAAATCGTTGGGCAGGGTTTGGGGCCAGCGCTTCCAAAACCCCGCGGAGTTGACGTCGTCCTTAAACTCTCTCTTAAGAGGAGCGGACTGGCCTATTCTTCTGACTTTTTTAGAAGAGAAGGTGACTCCCGGGGCTGCATATTCAACAGGGGGGAAAAAGCTGATTGTGAACCCGGCTGTCGGCGGGGGTGGGTGGAGGGGGCTGGGGCGCGGGGGCGGGGGCGGGGGTGGTGGCGGTAGGGCAAGTCATCTCTGGAATTCAATTGTTTAAAAAAAAATCATTTATAATTAAAGGGACAAAATAAAATACGATCGTCTCATGCATATTTAATCACTTGCACTTCCAGCTTTGAAACCACTTTCCCGGCGTGAATCTTCTCACTAATTTAAACTCTTAAGGCGACTGCTGTTTGCAAAAACATCTGGACAAGGCAGTTTTCAAGCTTGTTTAAATTCGAATAAGTTAATGGAGCCCCGTCGCGGGTTTAAAAAAAAAAAAAAGCAAAAGTTAAAACTCTGGTGAAAGTTTGGGGGGGGGATGGTGTTAAAAATCAAGCAGGGTTAAAGTCATCTTGAGCAGAAATGCAAATATGTGCATTCTGATTTAGCCTAATTAAAGCGGTGTTATGTGCAAACACATTCTCTCCACTCTGGCTTGGGTTTAATAGAGCAAATTAATTCCCCTCGCCGGAGTATGTTTTTGCCATAAACCCTCCCCTCCCCCGACCGCCGAAAATTTCCCACGAAGTGAAACACGTCCGCGGCTCCAACTCTCCCGCGCAAAATCGGAGACCATAACACCGACAGCGTTGGCGGGCCTCGGGCACAGGGCGGTGTCTCTTCCTCGTTCGGGATCGAGACTCACCCTGATTTTTCATTTTGAGAGGAAGCATGCGGGATTCAGACGAGAAAATAAAATCGCAAAAAGTACTTTTGTGGCTACTTGGACTCTTGAATCAGCTACAGGAAAAGTGCCAACGCGACAAGCCTGATCGAGTCCACAACAGCCTCATTATCCGGGCAAGTGTCCTCGAACTTTTGAAGGCCACTTGTCCAAAAAGGGGCCCGTGCGGGAGCGGGGCCGGAGGCGGGGGGGGGGGGCAGGGGCGCCCTCCGGGCCGTTCCGGGCTCCCCTCACTGCCCCCAAGCGACTGTGGTGCTCCCTCCCCCACTCCGCCCACTGTCTCCAATCCCCGACTCTGCAAAGTGCAGGCTTGTAATTCAGGACAAGTGTGACACCTACCTGTGAAAGGGGGGAACCGTCCCCTAGCCGGTCCCGCGGCCCCAGCCTCGCTGCTGCGCGGGGATCTACGGGGCCGCCTACCACCCGCACTGGCGCGGCTGGAACATTTACTAATTTAATCAAACTCAAGGAAGAGATCAATGCCCAATTTTGAAGGGGTAGGGAAAAGAGTGACTTGGGAAAGCCTTCTCCTTGGCATCCCCTTACGCTCCCCGCCCGCCTTAGCCCACAGCACCTTTGAAATAGTAATAAGGGCTAAATCCGGCATAAAATCGAACTCATTAGCAAAGTTCACCAGCTGATTGCTTTGCATAAAACACGACACTGATTGGAAGTAATTAGGTTAAGCGATGGAGCTCGGGTGGTACGTGTCTCTAGCTGGCTTTGCCATCTTTTCTCCCTTCTGGGCACACACTTGGGTCTCTCTTCTCCCTCCTCCAGGGTCCAATCTCCCCCAAGCCACCGGCGTCAGAGATCCAAATCTGCATTCCCCTCAGGGCCTGGGTCCCCGGGGCTTGCCGCCTAATTACGGTTTCCCCCCTGGCACCGCCGAAGTTCTATGGAAGCTTTCATTGCCCACTTGGGGGGGGGGGCGTGCAAAGTTGCAGTTTCCACCTTTTGTCCAAGGCGATGGACAGTTTATTGAGGCTTCTAAAAAGTAATGAGTGGCTCTGATTATGTTAAAATCTCTTTTAATTAAATATTTTGCATTTTACAAAGGCGGCTGCAGTTTCTTTTACTTTTTAAATCTAAGAGTATAACCTGTTTCCTTTCTGTAATAATACTTTAGCTCATACCCAGAAAAATCAATAGGTGTAAAAAATTAAATTAAACTTGTATTTTTTAAACTATGAAACAGTTTCGGGGGAAACACAAATGTATATATTTATATTACAAAAAAAAACATTAAATGCCTGTACAGGTGTCTTAATTTCATAATTTACTTCAAAGATATTGAATTATCAATTTAAATACAAAAATGCTACATTAAATATACAGAATAAGATTTAATACAAATCCTTTTTTTTTTTTTTAATTTTTCTTTTCGGTTGGTTAAGACATTTTTTTGTGTGTGGAGATGTTTACATTTTTATGTCATCCATCTCCATGAACTATAAACTTTTTAATAGGAGGGGTAGTTTTGTTTCTCTCTCTTGGTGATGGAAAAATAACTGCCAAGGCCATGTTTTTTTTAATAAATTAGCAAAGTCCGGGACCGACGCAGCCCGCGTTAAATGTCGGACATACCTTTCTTCAATTCATAGGGAGAGTCTTTGCACAGATCTAGCTGGCACTGGCTCCGCAACATTTTCGGGTCTTTAGCCAAAGCGTCCGCTCGGTTCAACACGGTCTGGTTTAATCCATTGAAATGCGAGCCCGGACCGGTTGTGGGGCCTGGCCCTGGCCCTGGGTGGCCGTGAAGGTGTCCGAAGGAGCCATAGTTCGTGTAGCCGGGATAGAAGGGCGCCGTGTAGTAGAGAGGCCGGGACAGCACGGTCCCGCCTGGAAAGGGACACTGCGCCGAGGGGGAGCGCGGTGGCGCCGGGGCCGGCGACGCGCGGCTGCCTCCTAAGGCTTGGCCCGCCACCGGCCCGGGGCACGGTGGGCATGGAGAGCCTTCGCTCCCGCCGCCCCCGTCCTTGACCTTGTCCGAGGATGTGGCGATCTCTGCCAGAGACCACAGTTTGGGCTTGGCGAGCACCGCCTGCGGCGGCGGCGGCGGCGGCGGCGAGTGTATGACCGAGGGCCCGCCGGGACCGGGGGGCAGCTCTCCCGCGGCTGGGTGCGGGCCCGGAGCCGGCGCGCCCGAGGGGTAGTGAGGGGCCGGGTCCTCCGCCAGCCGCGCGGCCGCTGGCCCGGCCGGGGAGGGCCCGCCGGCGCGGGGGGGCGCAGGCAGAGCGTCTAGACGGCCCTCGGATGGCGGCTCCTTAAAATCCGAGTCGCTGAGGCTGCCCTCCGTCTCCTTGCCGGCGGGAGTGGGCGGCCCCTGCAGCCGCTCGCAGCCCGAAGCCGCCTTCTGCTCCGCTCCTCCTGCGGGAGAAACCCCAGGCCGTCAAGGGGCGCGGAGGCCCAGCGGCGCGGCCCAGGTCCCCGGCCGCAGAGGCAGAGACCCTTGCCCCCAACCTCCAGCCCCCCCCCTTCCCTTCCTACGCCCGCTCAACACACCCCTTCCCGCGTCCACCAACCTGCTTCGGGGCCCTCGGAGTCTCCCTTGTCCTCGGGCTTCTGGGGCTCATCTTCGTCGTTCTTCTCCAGGTCGATGTTCTCCTCCTCCTCCTCGTCCTCGCTGCGGTTCCGCGGCGTCCACGTCATCTTGTTCTCCTTCTTGAGGCGCCGGCGCGCGTTGGCGAACCAGGTGGACACCTGGGTGAGGGTCATCTTGGTGATGATGGCCAGCATGATCTTCTCGCCCTTGGTGGGGTAGGGGTTCTTGCGGTGCTCGTTCAGCCAGGCCTTGAGCGTGGCGGTGGCGTCTCGCGTGGCGTTCTTCCGGTACGCGGGGTCCCCGTACGGGTACGAGCCCAGGGGCGCCGCGTAGGGGTGGTACCCCAAGGAGCCTGCCATGCCCGGGGTGTGATCGTAGGGAGAGCCCTGCAAGGAACACGCAGAGAGAAGGTGAGAGTGGGCCTGGAGCCCCGGTACCACCTAGACGACCGAAGCACACTCTCCCTGCGTCCCCGGGGGTGCGCGAGCTGTGAGGCCGGGGCTCCAGGCTATCCCTGGGGTAAGGCTGGCGGGCTCAGACCCAGGGGCACCTCCTCCTCGGAAGGCAGCGGGGGCGCCAACTCCTGGCTCCAGTCCTTCGGGGGCGCTTGAAGCCGTCCTGGCCCCAGCGGCACCCTACTGTAGGCCCCTCGTGTGCCCGGGGCAGGTCCGCCCCCCAGGCGCAGATCCGGCCACCTCGGCGGGGCCCTGCACCCAGACAGAGGCCTGGGCGGCTGCAGCGACTCTGCACCCGTGCCTGGGTGGCTGCACGGTAGGCGCAAAGAGGGAGAGCACGGGAAGTCAAGGCATTTTTACCCCCACAGAGAAAGGCGAAGGAAAAGCTAAGCCTCGCCCCGGCACTCCCCACCCCTCCAAAAATGTTACCCCAAACCGAAGCCACCGCGCTTTTCCAGAAAGTGCACCCGGCCGAAAAATCCCGGATGCACCGCAGCTCGGCCGACTTTTCAGAAATTTAATACCTCCAAATCGGATTGCGAAGATAGGATTACGGATTTGCAACATTTTGGAGGACTAATTAAAGGCGAGGCCAAACACATTTACATAGATTTAGCACGCTTCTGCGCGGATTTCTGGCCCCTTTCTTTTGAACTACTTTTCCAAAATGGCACAACCAAAAAAATAATAAAATGAACTAAAATTTGCAGGACGGCCTGGAGCTCACGTTGGAACCGAGTGCTGCTCTTTGATTGCAGCGACCTCCCCCCCCCCCCCCCCCCCAAAAAAAAACCCCTCTCCGCCAGCTCGGAGACCCAAGCAGGAGGCGGCTCTGCTCCCCGAGCAACTCCTGAGCCGGAGGCCCGGGCGAAGCCGACCGAGTCGGTCTCCCAAGTTTGCAGGGGCCGCGCAGCTCGGCGGGGGCGGTCCGCCGTGGCGCCGAGGCCCGTGTGCCCCGCAGCCCCCGCCCGCCCCGCGCGGCCCCAGCTGCCCTTGCCCGCCGCGGCTCCCGCTCACTCACCACGTACGAAGAGAAGGCGGCGGCGGCAGCTGCCGCGGGGTCGGCACCGTACTGGAGGTGCGAGTTGTAGCCCGGCGAGGGCGCCGTGAAGGCGGTGGAGCCGGCGTAGGGCGAGAACGCGGAGCCCGACGACGAGCGGCCGAGCTCATCCGTGCGGGGCCCCGAGATGACGCTGGTGCTGTACGCCGGGCACGAGTAGAGCGCCAGCGAGGCGGACGGCTGGTACAAGTAGCCCTGCGGGTAGGACATGGCCACACACGGGCATGGGGCGCGCCGCGCCGCGGCCGCCAACGAGCCGGGCGGCGCCCTGCGAGGGCGAGCGGGCGGGCACCTGGCCTCCGGCTGCCCCCGGCTGCCGCTTCTCGGGCCCCGGCTCCCGGGCTCCGGCCCCCGGCGCCTCCTCGCTGGCTTCCCGCGCGCCTCCGGCTGCGACTGCCGAGCCCGCTCCTCTGCGCGCCTCGCTCGCCCCGGCTGCGTTCCCCCCCCACCCCGCCCTCCCTTGCTGCTTTCTCTTTTTCCCCCTCGCTCTTTGCACTGGGGGGCTCTGCTTTTGGCTTCGCAAAGGTCCTGCCAAGATGCTAAGTTGGAAATTGAGGATTCTGACGCCTTGTGCGCGCCTGAAGCTCCTCCTTCCCGGGGTGTAGTCGGTGGGAGGACTGGCAGGAACCTCTGGGCGGCCGCAGCCAACCCGGCCGCCAGGCGTGCCTCGCCCTCTCCCTCTTCCTCCCCGGCTCCCTCTCCCGCTCGCTGGCGCTCCCCTCGCCCCTCCCTCGCGCCCGCCTCTCCACCGCGGCCCTCCTCTCCCCCTCCTCTTTTTCTCCCCCCCCCGCCCCTCCTCTCCCGGGTCTCTCTCCCTCTCTCTCTCTTTCTCAGACTCTCGAGCGCCGGCCCCAGGATGACAATCACATCCCAGGCGCGCCGATCTCTTCCAACTTTCCTTCCCTGCTAAGTCGGGCTGGAGCGGCAGTTCCGACGCAAGGCGGGCCCTGGTGGGCCAGTCCGGCCGCCCCGCAGCACAAAGGCGACGAGGCGGCGGACTGCGAGCCGCCGAACGCCGTGCCCTGTGCTGGCCAGAGTAAACCGCGAAGTTAGCGGATTTCTTGTTAGCCAAGAGGCCGGGCTCCGAGGCGGATCGCCGCCTACTCGCTCCCGGCTTCGCGTCCTAGCCGGGGAACCGGAGAGCGAGTTTGGAGACCTGGAATGGAGGTCCCTGGGAGAGACGGAGGGATGCCTGCGTCCGGGGCGCAGGGGGTCCGGGACGACTGTCCCTTTCCGCCAGCAGCAGCAGCAGCAGGTGGGCGAAGAGACAGGCCTTGGACATCTGCACGTCTCCGGCCCGGCCTCCCTTCCACCAACTCCGCGTCCAACCGCGAGGGAAGGGGGAGGCGGGACTACGCGGGTAGCCTTTCTCCAGAGCAGAGGTAGTGGGCATGAGCTGCCCGACGGAGAAGCAGCTGTGCGGGAGTGGGCTCCGGGCCCCACTCCTCCCGCCCCCGCCACGACTCGCTGTCTCTTTCTCCCGGCTTTCCATCCGCAGCTCCCCCTGCCAGGCCGGTGGTGGTTGGTGGTGGACGGTGCGGGCCCCCTTACCCTTAACACGCACTTTAGCGCCCGCCCACGCTCCATTGTAAACGCTCGGCATTGCCCAACCCAACCACTGTTTGCTTAGCGAGGCGCTGGCAAGGCAAACACACACCACTGAGTCACAGGCAGAGCTCTTGCCCACGACGGCCACACAGTGAGAATACAAAACAGACCTCCCGCCTGTGTCTCCACCCCGCGCCGCCGCGAGCCACAGACGCACTCGATCTCTGGGACAGACAGGGGCGCTGGTGAACCAAAACAGGGGCAGGCACAGTGTTGGGCACTCCACGGGACCTCGGGATGTCAGGGACTTCGTGGCCTTTTATAAACCTGGGCCGCACGCGAGCCGAGGCACAACTGCACCGTTTCCCGCGATGACTTTCACAAGCAGGATGCACTTTATTTCCGGAGCTTCAGTCCCCGCACACCAACCCACGCTGTACACTCGGACACACTTGGCGGCTGGACTTCACGCACGCGCGCTAACTCCTCCCCTCCCTCGGCTCTCCCTTTGGCTCCGCCCCTCAAGCGGACATTCAGCAAATCTCTCGGTCCGCCCCGCCCAATCCCTCCATGCCTCCATCTGTAATTGGACGCTGGCCTCTGTTGGCTCCTCCCCTCGGCGACGCGATCCCGCTTCCCTCCGAGTCACAGCGCCGAGGGGGTGGGGTTGGGCGGGGCGTCGGCGCGCTATTGTCATGGAGACGAGAAGCCGACGGCCGCGGAGGCGGGCGCAGCCGGGCTCCGGGTGGCTGTGAGCCTGCTGAGACTGAGGCCGAGCTGCCGGGCCAGCTCGAGCGGGAGGGAGCGCGCAGCTGGCCAATGGTGGCTTCTCGGGCAACCAAGGGAGGTGTCCTGTCGGGCTCGATCTAAGCCGGTGGTCGCGGCGAGCGTCCCCGCCCCGCTCCCTTCGCTCCCGCCTCTCCTGTGCTCCTCAGCGCCCGCCCCCGGCTCCGCCCGCCGCCGCCGCCGCCGCCGCCGCCGCCGCCGCCGCCGCAGCCCCTCGCGCTAACGGTCGGTAGCAGCCCGCGCGCGCCGCCCGCCGGGGGCTCGCGCCAGCCACGAGGGAGCGTCCGCGGCCCGCGCGCCCGCGCCGCAGAGGAGAGGTGAGTCCCGGGTCCTCCATCCCGCCGCGTGGCCCTCGAGCCGCGTCCGCGTCCCTTCGTGGACCGGATGGACGCGGCGGCGCCCCGCGCGCCGCCCGCCGGGCGTGGGCCGAGTGAGTGTCGGGCTGGCCTCGCCTGAGGTCACGGTCTGCGGGCAGGCGCGCGTGGGCGTGTCCCCTTCACCCACGCGCGCCCGCTTCACCCTCTGGGCTCTGGGCCAGGGTGCTGTTGTCTGAAATGGAGCCGTGGAGGTTTGTGCCACCGAGAATCGGAGTCTGTCACACAGACAACCTCATTACATCATTCTGCCACTCTGGGCCGCTAGGCTATCGGCCCCCCCACCCCACCCCACCCATTCCTTTCACTGTCTTGTTTTTGGTGTCAAGGACTGGAGAGAATCCTGAAAGATTTTGAAGCATTTAGAATTTGTGGTTTTGTTGCTGTGGCTGTCACCTCCGCTCTGCGTCAAATTTAAGACTCATTTCTTTAAGGATGTCTCTATTTTCTGCTTTATTTGCACGTTGATGGCTCTGCTGCTTGGCTGACCGCAGCCGCCGGGCGCCTCAGACTTGTGTTAATATGTGAAATGGAAGAACTGATCATTAGCAGGCAGATGGGATTCAGATAGCATCTGGCGGGTTTTCTCCAAGTCCATGTGAAAGTCTTTATATTTTTGCTGATAAACACGAGGTTTTTACCTTTTGATCTTGGTCGTGGTGACGGTTAAGGTCCCGTCTCCCCTCCCTTCCTTCTCCACTCCGGGAACCTGTTTACTTGTTAGCTGTGCTTTCAATAGTCTCTGGTCACTGAAGCTTTCTCCCCCCAGCAAAGGTGGGAGCTATCTATCTCCCTCGTATTTCAGATTACCAAGATGACCCATTTTCTTGCCGGGGAGGGGGCGTGGGGGGACTTACTCTTGCGTTTGTACCTTTCTGAACATTTAACTCAGGCTAGGGATAGATACGCCCCAATTGTTTTTTAAACGTAGAACTTAAAAGAAATTCTGATTTTAAGACTTCCTAAAGGCTTTTCGGTTTGTCGCGTCCTCACGGATCCACTTCTGCCTAACTCTTAACCTTTAAAGCTTTTAAAACAAGATCCACAGTTGTATTGCCGAGACATGGCAGCGGACCCTGCTCTTCGAGTTTTGGCTGTACGGTTGTCATTGTGTAAATCGAGTGCAAAAGAGGTTATTCCTGTTTATTTAGTGTAATAACTGTTTACAGTGAAAACTTTAAAGACTCATAAAAGTAGGTCTGCTGTATTTTAAAGATCTCATCATTCTTGTGGGAGAGACACAACACCAGCACCAGGAAAGGCAACAGATTGCTTCTGTCATATCGCTTTGCTGTTTCGGAGTGTACTTAAAGGATTATGATTGATAAGGCTGTCCTGCCAGAGAATGTTGACACAGGTGTGCATCGTTATCTTAATTAAGATCCTGAGAAAATGTTGTCTATAAAATGGTGACATAAGAAGGGCAGCATATTTTTGTACAGTTTTGCTTTGGGAGAATTTAATTGCACTTGAAACCTGTCTTCGAGCTTCCAGATTTTGTGAGCGCTTTGGCAGCAACAGAAGTTTTAGAGAGAAGGGATAGGTTAGTGTTAAGTGCTCTGGCGTGCAGGAATACTACTTGTGGCTTTTTGGCCAGTGCCTTTGTCAGCTTTCTTTGTGCGCCATGCTTGCGGAGAAATGGTTACTAATTTAGAGAGAAATGCAGAAATGGGACAGTCTCTTATTAAGCAAACATTTATTAGTGTGCAGAATCAATCTTTAGAGGACGGCCGGCTTAACGTGCAGCATCAAGGATAGAATTAAACTGTGAATATGTGAGCAATTCATGCCGCTTTATATTTTGGAAAAACCGTCTCCTAGAATGTTTTAATGATGTAAAATAGCTTCTCTTTTCGTATGAGCAAGTACTTAGCCTAGCTGTTTACGCGATGCCTTGTGTTTATTTCCAGAAATAGAAAAAAGAAAACCCTCTTTTGTCTCTTCCGAAATATTGTCTACAAATCCGAATTATGAGCCAGTGGAGATGGTGCATTTAGCCTCTTATTAGCTCAAGGATCTGAACCATAACTGGGTGATCACTAAAATAACATGACTCTCCTTTACTTCAGGTTTCTGAATGCAAAAACAATGTAAGGACGATGCTGCTGATTCTATTACCCTTGGCTTACCCAGCACCTAATACCCTTTAACATAAGTATTGCATTAAGATTTCCCCCCTTTCTTCGTAGCCCATGATTTCCTGGAAGCTGACTGTCCATTAGTGTGTATATAAGATATGTGAGTGTTTTTCTTTAATATTAAAACTCGATGTAGAAAGAGGAAATGAAAGTGAAGGAGGCCGTGGGCATATGATCGGAGAAGCCAGGTGTAGAGTCACAGCTCATTCGTGACTCCAAAGATAATTAGCTGGCTAGAATTACATGGCAAACTAAAATCAAAGAAAGCCTTATTTAGATTTGTTTGCTGAAACTCAAACAAGAGCATTAATTTTGAGATAATTGCTTTTCTTATCCCCCACCTCCCCCCCCCCCATCAAAATTTTTGTGCTGGCATCCCAATGCAGTTACCCATGCATTATTTTCAAATTTTATATGCTGTGTCAAAAGAAATGAAGTGCAAATGTGAACTAAGTGCCTATTGTCTGTTTTAATGAATAACAGCGAATAATTGTTCATATACTTTTACATTATAGATAAATCTTAGGAAAAATGTAAACGTGCTTCAGTTGATACCATGCAAGTAACTGAAATCCTGTAGTCGTAAGTGAATTAAACATGGCCTTTAAAAATAGAATGCGAACACAGTATCGCATTTTGGAATCATGTTGTAACTCTGAGATAGCCCAGCCTTTTTGTGTGTGGCAATAGCTCAATATCTGTGTGTATTTCCCTACAGTTTCTACATTTGATTGGCTCCTTTTTTCCTAACACCTTTTTGGTATATTCTTAGCTGTTTTATAGAGAATAATCATTCTTAAAAGATGCCACCAATCTGCCTCCAAGGAGACGTACAAACCTGGACTGGATTTGCTCTTGGTCGGTAGTGACGGTGGTTTGCTGTCACAACACAGATCTGAAGTGTGACACTTCTAACTTATTTCTGCATAAATGTGCAGTATTCTTATAAAGTACACCTGAGTACCAGTTTAGCTTGGCAAATTAACTTAGATGCTTCACAACTGAAAAACAGTATATTCTAATGTAGTTCAAGCTTAACTGTTTATTAGTAAGGATGCACTTAACATTTGTTCAGGGGAAGGAAATGTAATTTTCTCCTGCAGTTATCATTTATGTGATTCATTCTTCCAGCCTTTTCTCAGGCTAACGATACTCCACACCTTGATACAGCCTTTATTTGTTTATTTGGCATAATATGGAGTGATACCTTGGAGGAAATTAGATTAGTTATTCGTGCCTAGTATCCCCAAAGTATTTAACCAGCCTGCTGTGTTTCTTCAAACAGAATCATTTCCATTTTTTTATGTGCAAGTTATAAGTATGAGGTTGCCCTAATACATTTGGATGTTTGCAGCCAAGTTGACTTCTGAACTATCAGTTTCCTCCAAATGTTGGCTGAATGTTTTCCTTCCATATCCGCAGGCTCATCTGCAAGTGAGTGTCTGCAACACAGTGTGTGTGTGTGTGTGTGTGTGTGTGTGTGTGTGTGAAGTAAACTCAAAATAGTCTCAGCATTGGCTTTACCAAAGTATTTATATTGATAATAGGAACTAAGTACAGAATGCAAAGAATGTCACTTGAGGCCTTTGATTATTAAAACTACTAAATGCATTAAACATTCAGTAAAAGAGAAACAGGTTTGATTCGAGGAAATACACTGAGTAACTTCTTTTTAATGATGTCATTGGATGGGGAATTTATAAACTCAGTGCTTTTCATGAATGTCAAGACTGAGGTTATGTCTGATCGAAAAAGAAGTGTTACTTAAAGGAAATGATCTGTTTATGCCAAATTACGATTCTTGGTTCTTTTCATTACCCAGCTCTTTTAAGAATAAATGTAATGGGAGTATCAGCTCCGGGCATCAATACAAAACTCTTTTAATGTGAGGTGTGTGTAAAACTTGTCATCTCTCATCATAATGGGGGGTGGGGGGGCTGCTGACTCCAAGCAGATGAGAAAAGCTAGGAGACCGAATTATTTTGCCGAATATTCGTGTTGTCTATCGAGAGGGGCAAGGAACTGGATTTAACGATAAAGAACATTTTGTTAAGTAAGATGGTTCTGTGACCAAAGAAAAAAGCGTTCATTTAAACTGAAGGCCACCCTAGTTAGTACGGCCTGCAGCACCACAAATGCCTCTCTGAAAACTTTCAGAGAGGTTAAAGTGAGTTTTAGCCTAAGATGAAGGAATATGTAATTAGTTTCAAATCACACACTTGTGTTCCCCTGTCGCTGATTGGGTCTTACAAAGATGGGGTTTCAAGTGTGACCCAAAGGGGACAGATGACAACAAATTAGAAAATACACAAGACGAACGAACGTAAGGAAAATGTTAAGCGGCGGGCAACGGGATTCCTCTGTTTGCCTTTAAAGCTTAATCTTTTTTGTTGTCGTTTTTATCTACTTTGTTGGGTCCGCCGCCCCCCCCCCAGCCTAAAATAGGAAAAATCTAAACATATATGCCTATTGGTTTGGTTTCCTGTCGTCAGCCAAAATTTATTAAGATTCATATCTCATGGGTATTAATGCTGTCCAAATCTATTGAAACTAGGATCCCTTTTATATAAAATAGGTGGGAAGGTCCCCTATTTAAAAAAAAAAAACACAAACAAACACGATGAAGAAAACACATCCTTTCAACAGGAATGGGTTCTGGTTGATTCACTGAGGAGGTTGTACTAAATGTTCGCCAGTGGATATAGCTAGGGTATGCCGTTTGAGAAATGTGTTATTCGGGAATAAAACCAATTGAAGTATTGGTAATTAAATTGTAATTCCACGAAGGAAGGAAGTGGAGGGAAAGATACAGCTAACTATTGCTGTTTTTCTTTTTAAGAATCTGCACTTCATAATGGAGCTACTGTACCGGCTATCGGAAGGAGGAGATTCTGAAGATAGGGAGGTAATATTATCTCTTTTAAAAGAATACTTTCCTCTGTAATCCCGAGCAGTTATTACATATAAGAACTTTATCTGCCAGACAGCAATGTCTTTAAATGCGGGGCTACAGAACGATCTGATTTTCCAGCCACCCCCCCCACCCCCACCCCGTGCTCAGTTTGGAGCTGCTGCTCCCGGGGCTGCGGGCCGGGCCGGGAGAGCTGAGAAATCTCATCCAGCCAGACTCAGCACCCTTAAAATAGCTTCTTTCTGAGAATCAGAGCAGTGAGGGTGGCCTCCCCCGTTCTAGGAGCCATCATTTTGGTTTGCGGCTGATGTGCGTGCATTTAGCACGGTGCTCTGCTGTCAGCATACACCTCCCGGTCTTTGTCGCCTTCCCTGCAGAGCCAGGGCCATTTACTGCCAGCCTCGACTGGACCCTGCGTGGGAGACTCGGTGACTGGCACCTGGTCCCAGAACCCTGCCTGGGAGCGAGCTGGGCCCGGCCACAGGCCACTCCGGTGCGGGGACCCGTGCGGGCGGGCCCTGTTCCCTGTTCACCCCTTTCCATCCCTTTCCATTTTCCTTGTAATCCCAGGCCCCGGGTCACATTTTCCCTTTCCTCTCACTAGGTTGGCTTGCTGCTTCCTCTGCAGCTGTTGCAGGGATTCGCATGGAATGGAGGCCTCGGGTTTATTCTGGATGAGATCTTTGATAATTGACCCGTGTGGGTTTTTTCTTTTTTCTTTTTTCTTTTTCATTTTCCAACATCTAACGTTAGTGTTAAAGGACGAATCTAAGATCCTCGAAGAAACTGTTTGTATCAGTAAGAGAAGCTTCTGTGCTGTGTTGCCACATGGAATATGCAGGTGAAATTAAGAACAGGGCATAAGACCCTTTTATAAAAGCCCAGTGACTGTGTCTAAGAATGTTTGTACAGGCTTAAGCTGTGGAATGGTGTTTCTATCTATTTTCTTTCCTTCTGAAGAAAACCGATACACTTTTCTAGCCACCAAAAATATCTACTTCCTGAATTATACCTATGGAGGGATATTACTAGGACAATAAGGGGTTTCATGGTGTCCGATTATATAATTAGGAAATCGGTAGGCAGTGTGGTAGCTAAAACCAGGTTCTTCATGAGAGGGGCGAGTGTGCAGTTAAAAACAAAAACCTGCAGAGAGAAGACTCTTTAATCTGTAAATCATATGATGTAGCTGGTGAACAGAACAAGAAAGGGAAGTACACCGATATCTGATTCTTGTATTGATGCCTCAGTAGAGGCTGTAAGCCTGGGAAGCACTTAAAATGGAGCCTAGAAAGAAAAAAAAAAAGGTGACATCAAAATGATTACTTGGAAAGCAGTTTACATTTACAAAATTATTCACCATTATGACCTTGACCAACTTTTACACTTCAGCTAGTTGGGTTATTGCTTCCGTTTTTAAACTACCGGTCTACAGCTTGTGTGCAGAACGCAAGGGTATTTTCAAATTGACTGGGTCTTGCCGGTCCTCTTAAAATATGCCACAGTATTACAAAGTTGAAATGTAATATGTATTAATAGAAGGAAAATATAAAATTTAATATCCAGGCAACTGAGACCTTTAAACCTACTTTAAAAGTATAATCCTGACACCTATGACACCATTTTTTTGTCTCTGTTTTATGGGTAGAATCTTGGATGTTCGACCACCCAGATGTCTTATTTATTAATTCTACATTTTATTCTCCATAGCGGACATTTGAAATAAAAGGTGCATGTGGGAGAGGCAGATTTGGGGGCACCGGCTAATTTATTAAGCACTAGAACGCAGAAAAGCAGCCTTGATGAACGTAGGCCTATGAAAGAGGGCAAGTGAAAATGTTTGCAGCCGAAATTTACTAACGTAGCCACCATTTAAATTAAATGTTTGTTAACGTACTAGTGATGGCGTTTTCTCCTCCTCCTCCTTGTGGTTTCGTCCAACTAGATGTTACAGTGGCAGTTGCGCTGACTGTTAAGTGTTTAAATGATGACACCATTATGTGAAGTGATTTTGAAATGAGAGATTTCAGCCAAGAATTACATCTGCTCCCATCTCCTTCAAATCATACTCTCTGGCAGTGCAGATTATGATTGATTTGTTTGTGACAGATTGCAGGAAACAGTCATTGATTTTTCAATATTTTACCTTAAAATTATTTACAGTTGTAACCATGGGGAGGTATTTCCATGGGCTGTCAGCCGCTGAAAGACTAGGATAATATTCCCTGCTCTCTGACAAGACAAATTACCTGTAATGAGTGCAGTAGCTGAAGGGTATACTTTTATTTTAAAATATGTCAATAACCCCAGTGACTAAACGAATATTGATTTAGCATAATGAAGCCTGAGTAATGTGAAAATGAGCTTTTTCAAGGAGCCTGGTAAAGACTTTCTTTTTAGCTGGCTGTAAGAAGCTTTCCATTCTTTTCAACTAGCTCGCAGAGATAAGGAGTTTTCTATGCAAACCATCGGGAATGATAGTGTCGTTTGTGATAACAGCCAGGGTCCAAATATTTTGCCCTTCCTCTTATCGATTCTTTTTTCACATCTTATTTTGGGTCTTACTTTTAGTCAGAGAATTTGATTTGCTTGATCTTATCTTGACCTGACTTCTTATTTCCACAGTTTCAACATATTTTGCATTTAGACCCTCCAGTACCGAATATTAAAATATAACTATATGTACGATCATTTCGTGGATGACACAATAATTACCTTAAGACATTTCAAATGGGTTATTGTAGTATTTAATGTGCCATATTTTATGGTAGAATAATTCCCAGTCCCTGGACATCAGCTTGCTTTCAGTGGGAATGAAGATTAATTTACTCAGGCATCAGGGCATGTTTTCATTTGTGTCCGACTCTCCCCCCACCCCCCCGACCTCCCAACACCCTCCCCTGCTTTTTTTAAATGGAATTCTCAACTTTTTATGGATGAAGATACCAATACATAAGGTCCTTCAGACAAGAATAATAGTAGAGAAGTATATAACTATATTTTATAGTCCATCGAGGAGCCTGAAGACTGGGTGTCTGAATGAGTATCTTCATCTCCAACGGGGTAAGGAGGAAATAGGGTAAACATTGCTGGTCATATATAGCAGAAAAGTAAGTATTTGAACAAGATGTCAGACGGATACTCATGGGAATCCAGTGTCTTTCATGAGAATTAATAGTAATAGAATCTTATTAAAAGCAGTAGGTAAAGTCCCTTTAAAAATTAAAAATGAGCTCCAATTGAAAGAAAATTCACATGACTCCCTGTGAGTCCTAGTTTGCTCGTAGGATGGCATTGGAAACGTTGCAATAAAATGAAAAATATAAACATCTCTTTTAATGGAAGAAAGGAGAGCCTCTGGGACAAAAATTATCAGTACCCCCCACCCCAGGAATTTGCCCAAGGGTGTGGAAAAAGAGACATCTTGTCATCCGTCTTAGCTGTGCTTTGCAATAGCCTGGATGCTTTAGAAAATACGGATCCCATGGTTTCAGATGCTGTAAGTTCTGATTGCTCCACCCCCCACCCCCAAATTCTTTCCCTTTTTCTATAAATGGACCTTTGAAAATAGAAATGTGAGGGATATGCCATCATCATATATGAAACTGGTAGCCCAAATTCTTCGATCACTAATTACTAATTTGCTCTACAGTTTTTTTTTTTAGGTTGATGCAGTATCTCTTCCACTTATCTGTGGATAAGGCAATGGCTCTAGATATGCCTTCTAGAAAAAGAAATGAATATAGATTTTTTTTTCCTCAATAATTTTTTTAAGGAAAGCCTTCCCCCCCCCCCCCCAGACAAAGCGAGGCTAAGGAAAACATCTATATTGCAGTTTAGTTTATTTTGGAGTTAAATAATAAAGGTATTGTATTCAGCACGTCTTGACCCCATAATGTAGTTTAAACCTTGTGTTCATCTTACAGTGTGTGTATAGGGCTACTGATTTATTTGAATTAAGTTTTGGTAAATATGTAGATAAAGTAGAGCTTTTGTTCTTGGGGAAATTACTCTTCTTCTTTTTTATTTCCCTTCAAACAAAATACCCGTGTTCTTCTTTAGGGAAAAATTATTTACAGAGAGTGTTTTTAAACCATGCAGGTCATTGCCTGGGGTTGGCTAACACATTTATTTTTTTGAAAGATTTCAAAAAAACACCACCTTTCTTGTATTTGTATCTATTAAGATAAACAGTTTACTTTGCTACGGTGCATACCAATCTATTTAGTTAATTTTTTCTTCCAGAATTCATTCTGCCGCGTTTGGTCTGACCTTCTATGATAACTTAATATAGGAACAAATTAGCATATAATTCTATTTTCCACGTGACCTCCACCAGTTGCAGAATCCTGCCACCACTTTTGGAGGGCAGTTCGACAGCGTGCATAGACTGTAGCATTAAGTGTTTGCAAACGTCCAGCGCATCCTGGCTAAGGTGATATCGAAAATGTTCCGAAGTTTACAGCTAGAGGAAATACTCTCCCTTATTACTGAGGTGTTCGAATGCCTCCTAAAGGTAGCATTTTTCATTAGCGTACGTAGTTGATGAGTGACTTGTCTTCTAAGCACAGGGCCGCATGGCAGAGTTCAGTGCGGCGGGTGAGGTATGGGATGCCGGGAGATTGACAGGGACAGTGATCATGACAATAAATGGACTTTTTTCTTTTTCTTTTAGATTCAGCTCTTGGTCTTTGAACTTTCCTGTGATCTGTGCAACCTTGATACGAAGGACATGAACAATTAAGTATGCAAGGGGTTTCAACTTTGGATGTTCTCCCTTACAGATGCCAGTATTCTCCCGGTTAAGACCCTTAGATGTCGTGCGGAACGATTCACGTCGCGATCATCAATTTTATTTGAACTGACTAGTATTGTAGAGTATCACCAAGCATCTTCTGTTTCCATCAAAGTACAGAAAGAATAAAATCAATTCTGTATGTTGACTTATTTCCTAAAATGTCTTTCTTGGATTGAATGAGTGTTTATCCTTGAAAAAGAAGGTTCAAAGCAAAATCCCCGTCTCTGTCATAGCAACCCCTCTAGCGGTCCAACGTCACTCGCTACATTGAGGGGAGAAAACAACACTTGAAGGGCATCCATACGTATCTTTTACTTCCCTATATTAGTCCGCCTGGAAGAGAACATCTCTCCCCCCAAATAAATGAGCTCCACTCAGAAACAAGGAGATATCACCTGAACAGGCAGATCATTTGTTACGTTGTTTGCATATTTGATTTAGGTAAAGAAGATGCCATCCAGTTCTTTCAGAGAGTTCTTTTACTTGTGTAGCCCCAATACTCACGGGATTGCCTTGCCACTGGGAAATGCCTTGTGGCCTGTGGTGCTGCGGTAGGAAGACGGGAGGCTTGATGCTGCTGGCCTCTGGGATGTCACACTCCAAGGGGGGAGTCTGAGCAGAGAGAGTCCTCAGCGAGGGGACTGGGGACAATCACGGATGCCGGTGACACCTGTAGAAATGTTGGGAGTTACTGTTTGCGACTGACCCAGTTTGTACTTCCTCCACTTCCATAGTTTTTACCAAGAATCCAGGGCGCTGTGATGTATTCTGAAGCTCGGCTCTGAATAGCACAAAGTAAATTTATTAAGCTAGAACAATCTCTCCTTTTCCCTTTTTTAATTAAACTTTATTTTTGAGATAATTATAGATCTCACATGCAGGCGTCCTACCTAAGGGAGGGACCCCTTGTACTTTTTACCCCTTTTCCCCCAATACTGACATTTATTACATGTAACGTGTAATATCACACAAAACGGGCTCTAACATCGATAGAGTCAAGGTACACAACGTTTGCATCACTACAGGGAGCTCCGTTAGTGCCATTTCATGTCCAGTCTTCCTTCTCTCCTGTCCCTCTCAACCCTAGCAACTGCTCGTCTCTTCTCCATGCCTATAATTTTGTCTTTTCAAGAATGTTCTAGAAGTGGAATTCTATAGTGTGTTACCTTCTGGGACTGGCTTCTCTCAGCACGTTTTTCCTAGAGCTTCAGCTTGCATGGACCAGTAGTCTGGCGTATGGTTGGCTGGTGTTTCATGGTACGGGCGTCCCGCACACTGCGTAACCGCCAGTCAGGGCTTCAGGGTGGTTTCCCGTTTCTGACCCCTTCGAATAAAACCGCTATAAACATTCATGTACAGGTTTCTGTGTGAACATCAGTTTTCATTTTTCCTGGGACAAATGCCCAGGAGTGCAATTGTGGGTCATACGATAATTACATAGAGCCTTTCTTTTTATGACTTGACTTGATTTTACGTGTGTGTGTGGAAGGAGAGACCAGGCGGACATTGACATTTTTGCGGTGTTTTTGCTTGAACTGGATTCGTTTCTGACTTTAAAAATATGCAGACTATCTCAAATAACTTGTAGCCAGATATCAAAAACATTTTTCCACAACCCAGATTTTATTCTTCTTGTTGGAGAGATACTTTTGAAAAAAATGGCTTCCTCCCCCCCTTTTTTTTAAACAATTCATATGTAAAGGGATGGAGGTAGGGATATAGTGTAGGGAAGGTGCTGCAAAGCTCCCAGGTTACTTGGAGAAATTTGGGGGGGACTTTCCAAGTGTTAGCACAGACTTGGCATTAGAGGATGTGTCTTAACAGCTTCCGAATTGATACACTTGGCGTCTTTGTCGCTAGGATCTTGCCTGCAGTTTTTATTTGTAGAATTAACTCATCATCTTAACAGTTTGTATTCAGTGGTGTTGCATTTCATGCTCTTTTAATTCAGCTAGAAGACTTGTGTCAAAAGAAATAGAAGGAAATAAAACCCAAAAAGTGGCCTTTCCTAGTAGATGACTCCTAAAAATCCAACTACTTTATATGATGCCAGCTGGAAAAACAGCTCTGGTCCCAACCGTGATGGAAATTACACTGGTTTTTGGTTTTTTTTGTTTTTTTTAAAAAATACTTACCTTGACATAATGAGACATGTACAAAACTGGGGATGCCATATTTTGGGGGTGAACCAATGAAAAGACTTTCAAGGACATTTTTTACTCTGATTTCCCACCATTATATACGTGGACCTTAGAACTGGCACCGGAGACGGAGCTCCATGTCTTTTTCTAGAAACATTGGATGCCATTTACGGGTTACAATGATCCTGCTAACAAAAGTCAATATTACAAATCTTTAGCTTTTTTGAGTGAGGTGCTAGGCTCAGGGGACCCCGGTCTTTCCATGCTTTTATTTATAGTTTCCATCTTCAGCCGTTATGTTCATGACCACAGTGATATAAATGACTGAAGACAATAAAATAGCCCTTGCCCTTAAAGACGACCTGGAAAAAAGAGAGCATTGTACACATGCAATCTTTAAATACCAGTAGTCACTCATCATTAAGCAGCTACTTAAGCACCTCGTGTTCTAGCACTTCTGGGTACTGGGAATCTGACAGTAAAGAAGGCAATATGGTGCCCCCTCTACTCTGAGTGCCTGGTTCTCATAGTGCATCGGTTAGGGGGTGGGGACAGAGGAAAGGGTAAGAAGAAACTGAGATACCAACATGATTGTGTATTACTAGAAATCCAGAACGCTCGGAACTCAGGAGACAGCCGAAACAGGCCTCGCGGAAGATGGCGGACTTGAACTTCGAAGGAGCATATACTAGAACGGATGCGGAGGAGGATGTCAGCAAGGAGACGGAAATGGCTCTTGTGTGGTTTGTTGAATGTGAGGTGGAATCTGGTCTGGCTAGAATTTCCAGGGGCATCGGAGGGGTACGTCACTGCCCAAAAGTCTATTTAACAGCTTCCTATGTTGTAGCAACTCGCCAGAAATGAGGCATGCTTTTTTTAAAAGAGTAATATTTGAATTTACAGATGTGGGGTTGAGTGAAGAAACAAACGGATACTCTTCCTCCTAAAACAGGCTTGGAAGTACATTTTAGCTTGTAAGCCTCAATCTGCCAGTGTACGTGTATGTGTAAAACAATATTTTATTTTCCTCCCTGTATGTTTGATAAGCAATAAGAGGTCTTACACTTACCCGGTGTCTGAAATGCATAACCTATAAAACTATCATACTTGTTAAAGTGTTCATTTATTTTAGGCTTAAAATAACAAAAGAACTTAAGGTTCTTTTGGAAGAGTTCCAAAATTAAAACTGCAAGATCACAAGTAGATAAAACTTTACATAAAGAAAAGACTTGTAAGGTATAGAGACAGCAGATGGCTTTCCTAAGGACCTCTTTTAAGTAAGCTAAGAAAATACAAGTATTTCTGTGCATCATTTTTTTTTCAAGTGCTCCAGGTAGCAAGAGAGTTAAATGCCTTTTCTAAATATGCACCAAATTTTAGGAAGCTAAAATTGGAAGTTCAAATATCACTGAAGCCCGTTTTACTTGGGAACTTGAAAAAGGAAGAGACTGAAGGATCTGTTGAGTATCTTTACATTTATGTAAATCGTAGATTTGATCAGAGTGGTTATAAAAGACGTCAACGTAAAGATCCTCAGGATTTTACATGTAATAATATGGATCCCAATATACCCTAATGGATAGCATTGCCAAGGAGGAGGCCAAAACGAATCGTGTTTTGTTAAAAGGGCTGCACTAGGTCAGCGACTTCAAAGTCTCGCCTATGCATGAAGAGGAAACATTGCAGAATCATCTTGTAATGTTGTTTAGCGGTTTAAAAAATAAACAGAGCAGTGCAATGTCAGTCTTTTTTTTTTTAATTTGTTACAAATACTGCAAATCATAGGTTGATTACCACTAGACTTCCCGACTCTGCCCTGATTGCTATATTCTCTGCCTCTTCTTTTAAAATGCCAGGCACTTTATAATTTTGTCCATAATTGTTTATATGTATATTCTGTACAAAATGTTTTTAGAGCAACCTCTTGCTAAATTATCTTAACCCGCTCACCATCTTTAAACTCATGTATAAATTCACTGGAGCAGGAGTAGCCTGGCACATTGATGGAGTGTTTTATTTCTTCCGAGGAGCCTTCTTGTGCAAAATACCTTTCACACTCCCTGCGTAAAAATAGCAGGCCCCTTCCTCATGCAGGCTTTGGAAGCTGGAGAAGACTTTGTTTTACATATGAAGAAACTTGAGTCCCAAGAAGATGAAATGACTGGCCAATAAGTAATGACGACAATCTCTAGACTCCAAAGCAAATGAGGCTTAGATCAAGATGCCTGTCCCCCTTTCTGGAAATTCAATTTACAACGCTTGTCCCTATTCTTGGTATATCTTATTCTACATACGTCAGGGACAAATGCCATCTGTACAAGTCATGTCGACAGTGGGGCGCCAACTATGGGTATAACTAGCCAGGTTAAGTGTGTTCATCTCAGAACTGAATTTTAGCCAACAGAGTGTTGCATTCGTTCATTACCATCTATGCGTACCTGCTGTACCGAAGCAGGTGAGAAAAGTCAGGGAACCAAATAGGAGTATGACATAGTCCCTGAACTCCGCAAAGTGGGCATCAGGCTCAGGCCCAGAGAGAACTCGGAGAAGAGCACGCAGTGCTCGCTTACGGAGCTTAGGGCTTGGCCTCTACGGTGGAGACGGGGCATAAACAGACCATTTCAGCGCAGCAGGGTAGGAGTGGGGGCCAGATGCTGTGGGACCACAGGGGCGCAACTCCTAACCAAGCCTGACAGAGGGCGGACGAGGTCAAGGAAGGCTTCCCGGAGGAGAGGGGCATTAGGGTTGAGCCCCAAAGGAAGAGGGCCCCAGGCATGGGGAGCAAAAACCAAAGACCAGGGTGGGGGTGGATGCATTTGGGAGTGTGAGAAGTTTGAGAAGAGCAGGAAGCGTGTGTGTGGAGATGGGAAAGAGAGAGGAGAGGCAGCAGACCCGGGGGGGAGGGGGAGGCCTGTCGAGGGCCTTTCCTATGCCTGATGAGGAGGAGGAGGAGCTTGGGCTCCATCTTGGAGGAGATCCCGCCTTTGGTGGGGGGCCTGGGGGG